CTCTCTCTCTCTCTCTCTGTAAGTTGCCTGTAGAGGGAATCCCTTCTAAGCCAAGCCCCCGGCTCTCCAGTGGATTCAGACTCACACTGTAAACCAGTAGGACTGCCCCAGAGGATTTCTGAGGCTCTCAAACACAATGGAATCAGATTGTCTTCTTTTTCTCCCATGTATCAAGCGGTCAGTTTGAACTGTTGACCTCTGGGTTAGCAGCTCTGTGCTTAATGCCTGCTCCACTAGAGATTCTCTATGTTCTAAACCAGTCAGATTGAAAATAACATCTGGATTGGGGCTCAAAACTCAGACATCATTGTGGAGTTGGAACCGAGTCATTGCTAACTTTTTGCAGGTTTCTGACGTTGTAAATCACACAGGAAGAGAATGGTCATCCTTCTCCGGCACACCTGCTGCTGGGGGTGGATTCCACCCAAAAGATGAACTCGTCCTTTGGGTAAGAGCACCTCAACTGCTGAAAAACTCGCCCACGGGGCTTCGGATTTGACCTGATGGCAGTGAACCCATCAGTGACACACCATCGCCTTCAGCGTGACTCGGGCTCATGGTGACACTCCGTCAGGTTTCCAAGCTGTCTGTACTCATGGCTAGAGGCGCCCATCTTTCCTCTCTAGAGCAGCTGATGGACTCACACCGCTGCTCTTTTGTTAGCAGCCCGACATGCTACACACACGACACGAGGCTCCTTCTATTAATAACAGGACGTGGAGACCAGAGGAGACTTAGGTATGAAGATGCAGAATTGGCAGAAACTTTTAACACACATCTGTAGATCAGGAAAGAAGGCAATGTGAAAGGAAATCACCTTCAGGCAGAAGGAGCTGGAAGCACAGAACACGTTACCAGGGACTCAGAACAAGCCGTGCCTGGGGACTGAGTGTTACGTGACGCCTGACCTGCTGTTCAGCTGGAGGCTGGTTAAAGACTCTCGCTCACCTGTGTGTTTGCTACCGACCCCTGGGGTGGGTGGAGCATGGATGTCGTTAGAATGCCAGCCACCTCTCAGGCTGCTGATCCTACAGAAATAGGTCCAGATCGTGGTTAAGCTGCATGGTTTAATTTTTTAGCACTTGAAAAAAAAATGTACAGTAGTGTGACCACTTGGTCTTTGTCAACCTCCCCAGAGGTCAAGGTTCTCACTCATACGTACAAAATTAGTTTTGACAGTTTCATCTTAATAACCCGTTTTATCCTATTGCCATTGTCCCAACCATTGAAAAAAGTTCACAATAATTTACATAGAAATATTTCCAAAGTGCTTAAGAATAGTGATTGTTCTCCGGGCTATTTACAGGGGGCCTATACAGTGTATGTACAGGTAGCATACAATATAGCACAAGTTTCATTGCTGCAATATGGCTTTCTAGAAAAGTGCGGATTTGGCCAGAGGTGGCAATACTGTCTGGAGTCTCAAGGGTTACAGAGATTGGGCAACCATATCCAAAGCTGAAGTCGAACGTGGACAAGGATATTTACAAAAGTGTATAAAACGGCCGAGGACACGAGCTTGAGCCACCTCCAGGTGTCCTGATGTTCCTGACCGGGGGGCGGACAGACATCAGCCGCTGGCTCGGTTACCGTCCTGAAGCGTGGTAATCCAGATCAGATTCCAAAAGTCAAGACTTGTCCCGGAAGTCAAGCTAGATCATCATCTGTGCTTACAACCGATATCTGTGAACAAGAGAGAACATGGAATGAGCCTGGCGAACCGTCTGGCAACTGCACCGTGCTGGTCCCTGATGTGGGTCTGGTCCTGAGTTGACCATTCAAAGACCAGATGACCTTGAAAGGAAAGACAATTCAAGCCAACCCCAATGCTGCTGACTCAATTCTGACCCATCATGACTCGACGGGTAAGAGCAGAACTCTCTCCTTGGGTTTCCTTGAGGCTGTAATCTTACAGAAGGGAGCTTGGCTAGGTTAGTGGGAAGGAGCTGTGTTGCCAACCCAAAAGCACATGGTTCGAATCCACTACCTACTCCTCAGAAGACAGGCAACCTCCTGTACGATGGGTTTACAGCCTCAGAAAACCTGAAGGAAGGTCAGCTGTGAGTTGGTTCTGACAGGACGGAATGTAACCGCTCCCACAGCCTCTGTGGAAGGAGCTACTGCATCCTTCTCCCTAAGAGCAACTGGCGACCTTGAACCATCAGCCATCTGGTTGGCAGCTGAGCATTTAACCACTGCACCGCTGGGTAAGTCAGATACAATAGAACGCTGGGTTGTAACACTCGTGTGTTTCACTGAGTCTGCGCTGGCTTGGCGCAGTGAGGAAAGTGAGGCTGATTCTGCCTGTTCTAGCCTATGCTCTTAAGTCCTGGGGGAAAAAAACCAACCCTGCACAACTGAAGCAAATAAACCATTAGTAGGCCCCAGTTCTGTTTCGTCTCACTGGAAGCTCGAGAGAAGAGTGTTCAGCAGTAGGAAATGGAACGGGCTGTTTGGAAGGAGTGCAGTTTTGTTGTTTTGTTTTTTACTTAGAGGTGTAGTTTTTGATACCCTTACAAAGGCTTGGCACTGGGGCTAAACACTGGGCTTCAGCCCAGGAGAGAGGACAATCGCAGGCTGGTACAGGACTGGGCAGTGCTTCACTCTGTCACTCACGGGGTCCTGTGAGTCAGAGGCAACTTGATGGCACCTCACAACAACAACAAGGACAAGCAGAAAGCAAACTCCTCAAGCTTCATTCGATGAACGAGTGACCTCTCTATAGCAGGGGGAGAAGCTGGCTGTGCTGGGCCAGCGGGGGAGTGCTCCTAAGTCACACATCTGTTCACTCTGGCCAAGCAATTCCTCCCCGGCACCGACCTGAAGCCAGCCTTTTTGTGGTAGGCTGTGCACGTTTACCCTTTAACCTGCAGGCAGTAGACTTAACAGTTCATAAAAGAGCTGCCTGGTCCACGCTCTGAGCTCCAGGGAGCCCCTAGAAGTGAAATAGCACAGCGTCAAGTGATGACCTTGGCTGACCTGGGCCATTCCACACTGACCAAATGACTGGCTTATGCTGTAACAGGTTGTTGTTATGTGCCATCGAGTCGCTTGCGACTCATAGCGACCCTATGTACAACAGCCCTAAACTCCGCTCTGTCCTGTGCCAATTGCACTGCCTCTGACACTCCCATCCCAGTTATCCCAGTTACTGAATCAATCCACCTCATAGAGGGCCTTCCCCTCCTGTGCCGTCCCTCCACCCTCCCAAGCATGATGTCCTTCTCCAAGGACCGGTCTCTCCTCACATGTCCAAAGTATGTTAAACGGAGCCTCAGAATCCTTGCCTCCAAGGAGCCACCCGGTTTAACCCTTTTCAGGAAGAATCTGTTTGTTTTCCTAGCAGTCCATGATACTCTCAATACTCTTCTCCAGCACCACAGCTCAAAGGCATCAATTCTCCTTCTATCCTCCTTAGTCATTGTCCAACTCTCTGATGCATAACAAGTGGTTGTGAAGACCATGGCCTGTATCAGACGCACTCCTCCTTAGTCATTGTCCAACTCTCTGATGCATAACAAGTGGTTGTGAAGACCATGGCCTGTATCAGACGCACCTTAGTCTCCAAAGAGACACCATCGCTCTTCAGTACTTTGGAGAGGTCCCTAACAGCAGACTTTCCCAAGGCAATGCGCCTTTTAATTTCCTGGCTGCTGGTGCCAAGAGTGTTGACTGTGGAGCCAAGCAAACTAACTGTCTAAAAGTCCAGATATCAGATAAGCTGCTTCAGGGCTGAACGATCCTCATCCAAACTCAAACACCCACAGTGGTCAAGCCAGCTCCGACTCACAGTGACCCACCATTGGGCTCTGGAGGCTGTAAATCCTTAGGGAGACCGCTGTCCCCTTTCTCTTGTGGAGCAGCTGGTGGGTTTGAACCACTGACCGTCTGGTTTGTCCGTCTAACACAAAGCACGCTATACCATCAGGGCCCTTTTTCTTAGTCTAAGTAGCCACAGCTCAAGCAGGTGAACTCCTGGCAGCCAGGAGCCACGTGTCTGAAGACACAGAGGAGGCTCACCGCGGGGTACGTGTGTCCGACGGAGGCGCTGTGCCGGCCGATGTCGATGGAGAGGTCCTCTTCCGTGGTCTTCAAGTACACAGGGTTGTCGAAGTTCATGCTCTTCATGTTCTTGTGTTGCCAATTCCGCCACATCAAGTAGCCACCTACGGCTGCCATCGCCAAGAGCACTGCAAAGAGAGGACAGAGCCGAGACCGACTTCAGGACAGACAGGCACTCGGGGAGGCATTCGGGATCGAAAGCTCTCAGCAGACGTCAGAGATGCAGGTCAAAACCATGAGAGTCCCTCTCACCCCAGCAGCAGTGGCAAGGTTTACTAGCACAGCTGGCAATGGGTGCTGGACAGGAGGTGGAGAGCCTGGGACTCTCATACACTGCTGGTGGGAGTGTAAACTCGTACAACCACTCTGAAAGGCAGTTTGGCACTTCTTCAGAAAGCCCAACATAGGCATTCCATATGACCCAGCTATTTCACTGCTAGGAATATAACCCAAGAAAATGAGAACTGAGGCACAAATGGAGTCTTAGACACCAATATTCATGGCAGTATCATCTCAGCCCCTCCTTCCAGCCACCAAACTCTGTGACTCTGTGATTTTTCCACCCTCAGTCCTCCTGCCCCCTCCTTTAGCACAGACGGAGGCATTGTGGGTTTGGTTCCAAATCACCACGATAAAGCAAGTTAACAGAATAAAGGGGGGGGGACATGGCTTTTTGGGTCCCCGTGCCGATGTTTCCCCCCTCCTGTCATCTATGTGATACTGACATCATCCAGGTGGGGTTTATTCTCCCGGCATCTATGTGATACTGACATCATCCAGGTGGGATTTCTCCTCTCCTGCCATCTATGAAGCCCTACAGCATGATGAAACAGTTCATAATATCATGACAATGACCCACACAGGACAGAGGCACAAGGTGCAAGGTGCACATGTGCTGATGGGAACACAGCACTGAGGGGCCTGCTCTGTGCAAGGCTTGCCCGAACCTTCCCTCTATGAGACAGTGCTGCGGCGTCAAGAGCAATGGAGCCAAATAGAGCCAACAAGTGTCTGGACGAGGAGGTGTGGAGCATTCAGGGAGGGCGCCCCTGGACGAGGTAAAAATTCATCAGAGCCAGATACGGAAGGACTTTACTTACAGAGGGGCAGAGTGGCCCAGGCGGCCGAGGTCCCTCTCGGGGGGACACTGATTTCCGACACAGCTGTGGTCACATTGATCCCTACAGGGGAATAAAAGTTCAGGTTAGAAGGATCTCAACTCGCAGGCGCACAGCTAGCCTTCAGGACAAATGCTCCACGGCCGGTGCTCTGGTCCAGCGCCTCTGCGAATTCCCGTGGTTGCCAGAGCCACAGCCACTGAGATGTCCCACACAGAAGCCTTCCTGAGCAAGCCAGGTGGGAACTGGCAAATTCTAAGCCTGCAGAAGTGACACCTGGGGGACCGGTCAGAAGCAGAGCTAGGGGCTAAAGGCTGGGTTCACTGAAAGCGATAGCTACAGACAGTGCAGCTGTTAGTCGAGACAAACTGTTTGTAACGCTGAGCCCAATACCTTGAGGGGCTAGTCCGCTAGAAGGTGACCTCTCTGTGGTGGCCGTATCCTTGGTCGCACTGTCAGTCACAGTACTTGTGCCTGGAGAACCTGAATCATAAAGACCAACACCCTCGTTAACACCGAGGTCTCAACACAGCTCACTGGCTGGGCTCAAGAAGCCATGTGGTAAGGGGTGAAGAAGGCCATGTGACAGAGACCAGGCACTGCTGAACCAAGACGAGTGACCAACAGGTCAAGATTGATAGTAAGACCCTGTGCACGTCGACCTCAAGAGTCATGAGCCTTTGGGCAAAAAAGTCAGCAGTTCGAATCTGGCAAGTTAAAGAATGTCATGGAATAAAAGGAGTGATAGAAAACATAGACTACGCCCTCCAGAGAGTCTCCCCAGTCCGCTGGCCACTACCGATGGGGCAATTCTGACCCTTAGTGACCCTGCTGGAGAAGACAGAGCAGTGTCATAGGATTTTCTAGGCTGTAAACCCTGATGGAAGCAGATGAACTCATCTTTGGCCCACACAGCTGCTAGTGGGCTTGAACTGTGAACCTTTGCTTAGTAGCCAGGCGCCTGACCCACGGCACCATGCCTGTTGTAGTGGAGTCAATTCTGACTCACAGCAACCCTACGGGTCAGAGAAAAACTGCCCCTGAAGGGTTCCAAGGCTGTAAATCTTCAAGCAGACAGCTTCATCTTCATCCCACAGAGCAACTGGTGGGTTCGGACTGTCCACCTCCTGTTTAGCAGTCAAGTGCTTTAACCAAAGTGCCACGAGCACTATGACAATGCTGTAGGCTCGTAGAAGCTACAAGAAATGCTCTGACACCAAATCCCCAGACCTGCTGATCTTAAGTTCGTCCGGACTATACTGGTCCCTGCAACCATGCAGCATTAAGCCGATGCAAACCCAATGTTCACTTTCCTCATGTAAAAACACGTAAGTCTAATTTAGCAAAAAGCTAAGGACAGAAGACAAAACACCACGTGGTTTAAGACAGTGTCACCCACTGAGGCTTGGGGGCTTCCTGAAACCAGGGCCTTCTTTCAAGCTTATTTACCTCCCACTTTAGAAGTGGATACTAAGACTTTACTTAATCGGCCGCACGTTGCCGGCCTCCACAGTCATGGGAATAGTGGGTACAAATTCCCGTGAGTCTCTGGACACTTTAAACCCACTGCTATCCAGCTGTGCTGCCTCATGGTGACCCTTCGTCAGCAGTCCGTGGCTGGAACTCTTAAAGGGAAGAGTTAGCCTCGTCTTTCTTTGGAAGATCAGCTCTTGGACTTGAACCCCTAACCTTATTATTAGGAGACCCTACGCTGCCAGGGCTAGAAACTCAGCCACTGTTGATATGACTTAGAAATTAGGTCTTAAAAGTAATGGGCCGGGCACCTGGCATGTGGCAGCAGCAGACCTGTCCCCCCACTTACACGACTTGTGAAAGCAGGCCAGTTTTCACAGGCCGCACCTTCCTACCTCAGAACCTGTGCATGAAAGGTGGAAAGCCTTACTCTGACACTCCTGGCCGCCGGCCGCCAGCTTGTACCCGTTGGGGCAGGAGCAGGTGTACTTTGGAGAGTGCTCATTAATCTGCGGTGCTGGCAGGCACAGGTATTCACATCCTCCGTTCTCCTGGTCTTCTTCACACCAATTTTTACCTAGGCAGCAGAAAAGCCCTTTCAAACAGGAGTTCCAGCATCTACCGTATACCCAGCCCTAGTCTACAGCCTCCTTCCAATGAACTTGCTCTCTCAGATGTTCAAGTGAGACCACTGCCCGTGAAGAGTAAGCCTGAGAGCAGGGGCAGATGCTGGGAGAGACCTCCCGGACGGAGACTAGGTAGTGAGTGTGGGTGGGGTCATCCACACAGCGTGGCGCTCCTTCCTGTGACCTGCAACAAACCTTCAGTGCAGAATCAAATGCGATGACCTGGAATCTTGACGGGACATGAGAAAAGAGGTCAGCTTTTCTGATGTCTTTTCTGGAGCATCTTAACCTAAAACCCCAGGCAGAAGGCATCCTGTCAGTACATCTGCCTTTCTTGTCCTGAGGCAATATTCCCAGGGACTGCTTAGCTTTCTCTCTCTCTCTCTGTGTGTGTGTGTGTGTGTGTGTGTGTGTGTGTGTGTGTGTGTGTGTATGTGTGTGTGTGTGTGTGTGTGTGATGTGGCTCCTGGCCAACCTCACGGCTGTAGCTCTATCGTGTGTGTGTGTGTGTGAGAGAGAGAGAGAGAAAGAGAGAGAGACGTGGCTCCTAGTCAACCTCACGGCTGCAGCTCTATCTAGCAGGGAGTGAATAAGGCCCTTAGCGCTGTGTGTGTTTGTGTGTGTGTGTGTGACGTGACTCCTGGTCAACCTCACGGCTGTAACTCTATCTAGCAGGGAGTGAATAAGGCCCTGCTCTTGCAGCAGAAAAGGGTCCTCACAGACCATGTCCAACGCTGACGGCAGAGCAAGTCCTGCAGAACACGTGGTACCGACAACCACTATGGAGGCCACCTCACTCCGTTTCTTCTCTATGTGAGTAAAACGTGGTTCTAACCAGTGCCTGTGTGTGAGTCACATCTTTGTTGGCAATGCTGACGCTGATGAATGCCAGCGCAGGTTACTACTATCTGCATGGCTGGGACTCCTCTCCTGAGGTAGTGACAGATGTCACCAGGTCAACAGGTGGTAAGGGCCAAAGGGGAAAGGTGAGGGATCAGGGCTGGTGCTCACTATAGGGCCAAGTAAAGGCCCTGGAGGAAGGAGACCAAGCCTGCTCTCTGGATTTGTCCTGCAAAGCAGAGAGGAGCCTGGGGCAAGGAGCTTTGAGGGCTCTAGTCAGGTAGAACTGACCAGAGGAGGTGAGCAGGAAACGGGAACAACCAGAAGAGCTGTCAGACTGGGTAATCCACCATAAGACTCAGGATGTGGTCCGGGGAAACCGTGAGGGACAAGAGTGACCTCGGAGGCTTGTGTGACGGTCCCAGGAAGAGGAACCGAGGGCAAAGGGACAGACGAGAAGGCCAGCTCAACTCCGAGTACAGGGCGGGAATGTGAGAGGAGAAATTCTGAAGCCATTTCACTAGGAAATACAAGACCCCAAACTCCAAGCTGCAAGTGTTTCAGATCAGATACTAAACCAAAACCCAAGCCCACGGTCATGTCCATTTGTGACACAGAACGGCCCCATAGTGTTTCTAAGGCTGTAACACTTTAGGGAAACAGAATGCCACATCTTTCTCCTGAGGAGTGGCTGGTGGATTTGAACCACCGATCTTTCAGTTAGCAGAGGAATGCTCAACCACTGTGCCAACCCCTCTCCCCACTGCCATGGAGTTGGACCGGGCTTAGAGCTGACCCGTAGCCGACACAGTCGGCTGACTCCAGGGGTTCTCTGGACGCTGTAAATCACACAGGAGATTATCTAGCTCCTGTGGGGACACTGTGGTTGGCACGGGGCTCCTGAAGTAGGGTTCGGGGGGCAAAAGCTTCCTTTTAAGGAGTTAAGGAAGAGTTCTGGACATCCAGCAGGTGCCGCAGGGTCACAGTGCTGCTTCCTAAGTAGCCGTGAGGGACCACATTACCTAACGGCTGGACCAGCTCGTGGTACACAATGATGTCCTGGGCGTCATTGAGGTTGTTAACCAGGGTAGCCAGCTCCGAGCCAGTGAATTTATTGGCCCCGTAGACAGCTTCGTTCTCCCCATCTATCCAGTAGACACGGTCCTAAAACACAACCCTCAAATTAGCATGGACACCAAAGATGAACATAAGTCACTGCTAAAGGTCACCATTATTTACCGGCCACTTGACGGGCCAAGTTTATCTAACATTCAGCGGGGATGTCAAGTGCAGGTTTCCAGAAGTGCCTGGGAGAATCAGTATAGACACTGCACTAAGTTCTTAGAGACGGCGCCTTGTCCAGTTAAGACACCCCTGCCCATCATGTACGCTACGTCCTTCTCTCCAAAGTGCTGCAGCAACTCCAGGGAACAGGTCTGCACACATGTACACGTCTTACCTCAAATATCGTTAATGCGAGAGGGTGAGCCAGGAACTCCAGAGACCTGAGCACTATCCGACGGTCCTGGCCGTTCAAGTCCACGCTGGACAACATGTGCAGCTTGGAATCCAGCCAGTAGAGGCGGCTCTTGACGAGGTCTAGGGAGCAGACGCACTGTCTCAGCAGGATAAGGAATTAGGATGCTGGCTAACATTGAAGACGCCTATGGAATCCAGCCCTCGAGGTCGCTTCCTGCTTCGGGGTTCTGGACCGAGCTCCCACAAGCCTCTCTGACAGCAAGCTGAGTCTGCACCTCAGCCTGCTGTTACTGCGTGTACCTGAGGTTCTCAAAGTACCTGGCTGACATTACGCTCCTACCCCACACTGTCGCCGGTACTATTCCGCTGACCTGAGACACATGCCAATGTCATGGACACAGGACTGAAATGCTGACCGGTCCTGGATCACAATCCACAATTAACTGTAGGTTGAACTGCTGGGATTCACTGGATGACTTTTCACAGTAGGTCGTTCAGAAATATTTTGTATCTAATAGGGACTGAATGACTGAGGCCATCTGATTAAACCTCACAGACTGGACTTTTTCCATTTCAGTGCTATTAGACAAAAGACTAAATTGCTAATGGTGGAGTTTATGTACAGAATGTTTTTATTTTTGAGTAACATTTTTTTCACTGATGCTGTAGAAAAATTGGATATGTTAAGGGAGAATTTTTCTGTCCTTGAGTGTATTTGCTCTGGCCTTTCTTCCTAGTCTTATCTAGAAACTGCTGAAACCAGTTCAGCATTGAAGCAACACAAAGCTGTCCCTGAGAGACACGTGAGAGCTGCACTAGCTGAGAATTGAACCCCGGTCTCCTGGGTGGAAGGTGAGAATTCTACCACCAATGGCCCCAGCCAAATTACAGCAAGTATTAATGAATAGTAAGAGAGTAGGGATCTGTTGCTCTTCCTTGATGAACCTGAAGAAAATGGTTTTAAGTTTGAAACTCAGGAAACACAGTACAAGTCTCCAAGACATTAGATCCAAACGGACAGCAGAGCTAGTCATTATGGTTCACAGAAATAGTTACGTCCATTATTTTGCTTGTATTGCTCAAAAAAAAGAAGCCAGTATCAAGAGTATTCAGACTCAGGGAGAAAGGTGGGAAATCTCCTCCCATGCAATTTATAGCCTCTGGAAGTCCAGTGGAGGGCCAGTAATGTGTCAGTTCTGACTGGACAGTAGAGTTAGGGTGACCTTGTACGTGTCAGAGACCTGTACCCCACAAGCTTTTCAATAGTGGACTTTAAAGAAGAAGGTCACCAGGACTTTCTTCTGAGGCATCCCTGGGAGGACTGGAACCTTTAAACTTTCAGTTTGCAGCTGGGTGCATTTACCATTTACGCCACCCAGGCACTCTGTTCTTCAGGTACTTTCTCCTATAGGACAGTGAAGAGTTGTTTGTAGTTCTCTAAAACCAACCCAGACCTCTCTGCTGTCAGCTGGGTTCTCACTCAGGTCCACCCTTCATGGATCTTCTGAAGCTGTGAATCTTGATGGGAGGAGACAGACTCATCATTCTCCCATGAAGCAACTGATGGATTTGAAATGCTGACTTTTCTGTTAGGAGCCCAACACTTAACCCTCTATGCCACCCAGAGTGAGACATGGAGGTAAGAGAAAACGTGGTGAGAGCAGCAGCTCTGGGCATCGGAGGTAGGAAGGTCATACGTACCCAGGGTGATGCCATTGGGCCACTGGATGTCCACTGTCACCAGCGGTCGCCGGTCAAATCCATTCATCCCTGCTTGTTCTATCTTAGCTGGTTCTCCCCAGTCTGACCAATAAACAAAGCTGCAAGAATTCAGTTAGAAATAAGCCTCAGTGGATTACCAGGAATAAAGCTGTAGCTTGCAACACAAGTTTAAAGAGTAAACACAGAATTCCAGTGACTCGCTCTCTAGAGACAAACAGGAGACCTTGGAGGCCTGGTAAGCAGATCTGCGTCGCATCTACAAGTTCATCATCAACCACATCACATACAGCTGACGTTCAAGTTCAGCCCAAAGTCTCAGGGTTCCAGGTTTCCTTTACGCACACAGACCCCGGAGGTCCTGTGGGCTCAGTCCAAATCAGCACAACAGAGCAAACACTGTGTTCAGTGAGTCAAACAAACTTTTGCTTTCCCAGTTCATAGACAAGTTGGGATGACACCAGAAAGTCTTAAATATCATGTGAATGACCACAGGGTGACACAGAAGCATGGAGTGAGCACATGCTGTTGGGGAAAAAAATCAAATGGATGGATCTGTTTGGTGCAGGCTGCCACAAACCTTCCATTTGTGAAAAAGACACTGTCTGCAAAGGACAATAAAGTGGCGTGCAATCAAACAAGGGATGACTGTGGAAGGCGGACGTCCTCGTGTCTGACGGGAGGAGCTGGCTGGCTGTGTTCTGAAGGAGGCTGTATGGGGACCACTGGTCAGTGACACAGCCTGAGTGTGCTGGCAGCTCTGTGGTGAAGGACTTGTCTCCTAACCTACAGTCTGGTGGTTTGAACCAAGCCTCCCTCTCTTGTTTTCTCCCTAAGACCTGGCAAGCTTCTCCTGTAAAGAGAACAGCTTATAACCAGCCCCGTCACGGGGAGTTCTACTCTGTCACACGTAGGCACATCTCAAAGGCACCCAACTGTAGCAGTCAACGTCCCAAGCTGCCGTCCATATAACTTAGTGGCAATTTAAGAAAACTCCTCCACTGAATGTTTCTGGAGAGTTTGATTGTTTTCAAGGGCACTTCAAGATAGTTTACCCTTCTAAACAAAGTCTTGAGGCCAAGCCAGCCCCATCATGCTGACAATTCCTGCTAGCATCTATGTTTCAGCACCCATAGCCACCTGGGCTGAACGTTCAGACCAAAATGAAAATTCCTTCCCCTCAGGTACGGTGCACGAAAGGCTTGCCGGAGACTAACATTTGCTGTGGGGTCTCACCAGGAATGCTTTCCCCCCACTTTCAAGTATTTCCATATTTATTTCTCTATCTTCTTGGATTTGAAAGATATTAAGAGGATTCTTCCTGTCACATGATCTTTTTTCTTACTGATTACCTTACAAAGTTCATATACACTGTGTTTCACATTAGTTTCAACTAGCAATGATCATGGAGCGTATGGGTAGTGTAAAGGGTTAACTCCTCGGCCACTCATCAACAGCGTGGCAGCTGACGGCCACCACGTATGCCTCATGAGAAGGGCCTGGTCATCTATTTCTGAAAGACCACAGCCCCCGAAAATGCACAGAGCCCAGCTGTGCTCTGACACCCGGGGTCTGTCCAAGAGTTCCCAGTTCACTTGACCACAGTAACCACATTGCCCCAGCAGGGTGTGGCAGAGACGAGGCCAGTCCAGAACCTCTCAAGCATGGACTGTCCAACCTCACTGACCGTGTGGACTGGATAATTCTTTGATGTAGAGGACTACCGGGTCTTGAGATGTCAGTACCACTGTAGGCACGAGGACAAACCCTGGCCTACACAGAGACCATTCCTGACGGCACGAGAAGTAACACAGGATACAAACCCCGACAGCGGGTCCACGGCTATGGAGGCCGGCTCTCGCAAGTCCGAGTTAAACAGAAGCTTCCGCTTGGTTCCGTCGAGGGTAGCTACTGAAATAGTCTTAGAAGCCGCGTCAGTCCAGTAGATGGTCTTGTACACCCAGTCGACAGCTATGGCTGCAGGATTATAGACATTGTCGATCATTTTAACATGTCTACCAACCTTGTCATCAATCGAGGCACTGAAACAGAATAGGTCACAAGAGATTTAAGACTTCGATGCCATCAGAACCAGGAGGATGGACTTTCTGCTAACGCAAGAGTCAACAACTCTGCCCAGAACAAACTCCAGTAACGCTACCCCAACCCCCCTCACACCCCTCACATCACTGACCCATGCTGCTTCCCACCATACTAAGCCAGAAATACCGTAGACAATCTAATGTCTACAGGAGAGTTTCTAATGAAATCATTTGTTTCAGTAGCTCTCAAGAGGCTTTCTGTGGGACCCAACAAACAACAGCTGCCACCACCATTTCTATTTTAATAACACATTGTTGTTGTTATGTGCCGTCGAGTCGCTTGTGACTCATAGCGACCCTATGTACAACAGCCCTAAACTCTGCTCTGTCCTGTGCCAATCGCACTGTCTCCAACACTCCCATCCCAATTATCCCAGTCACTGACTCAATCCACCTCATAGAGGGCCTTCCCCTCCTGCGCTGCCCCTCCACCCTCCCAAGCATGACACATCGGACAAACAATTCTCAATTAACTGTGGAGATAAGGGAGGGAATACACAAACTTAAGATGCTCTCTCTGACAACGCTGTTAAAGTCCTGGACTTCTAGACCACTGCTTGTTTCTAAGAGTCCCCTCGTAGGGCAAATGTTTAATATTTTTGGCTGCCAATGGAAACCCTGGGGTTTCCAGCTCATCTACAAGTAATTCAGAAGAGAGGTCTGGCAATCTATTCTAAAACCATCTGCCATCGAGTCCAGCTCTGCTCGAGCATACGTGACTCAACTTGATGGCAACTGGCCTTGGTCAGTTGGGAAGAGATGGCAAGTTATTAAAGAATCAGAACTAGTTTGTCCGAGTTAGTATTGTTGCCAGGTACCAGATGCTGAACTGGAGATGAGGAACACCTGTGCCGAGCTTCCTCCCTCCATGCCTTCCCACAGGCAAAGTGACAAGGACGTGTGCCAAGACAGGTGGGGTGGAACGGAAAGTTACCTGAAGATAGCTTTTTGGCTCACATCCGCCCAGAAGAGTTTCTGAGCAGCGATGTCAGCATCGAGAGCCACCGTGTTCCTTAACTGCTCAACGAGCTGGATGTATTCTTTCCTCTCTAAGCCAATCTTCCTGATGTCTCTGCGATTCGTAAAGATCAGACTGGGCTCTTTGCCTGAAAAAACAGGAGTCGGGTTTATTTCATTTCGCTGTTAGAACTCAACGTCCTTCCAAACCACCTCTTCCACACAAGGAGCCTCAGAGCCAAGGCTCTGCTGGACACCTTGGCAGAAGACTGCCTGGCATCTTGCCCCTTTGACCTGCAAGTCTTCCCACTGCTGAGGAAGGTGGTCTTGAGGGGTGGGGGGGTGTTGTGCCACTGCGTTCACAAACAGGGCAGCCAATGAACGACTTAGTTCCTTATTAGAATCATACTCAAGCTTCAAGTTTCTTCAAGAAACAGAAAGCTTCTGGGTAGGAGCCTGACAGGAAGTGACGACATCCCACGTAAAAGGCTCACTCAAGGCAGGGTCTGGGAAATGACCTGCCACACTGCAACCTGGGCAGCACTGCTGGGTTTTAACAGTTGACATGCTTGGCTGTTAACCAAAAGGTGAGTAGCTGCTATCCACGCAGGTGACCAGAGAGAAGAGCGGGTGATTCTTTTTGAAAGATCACAGTTCCACTGTGACACACACAGGTGGTAGCCAGAGGGGGAATCGACCCTGGCCACCGTATGTGGATCGCACCCTGACCGTCACGGCACAGCTGTCAAGTGCTGCTCGGGCTTCACTGCTGGGCCGCCTGCGGCCGTCACTGGCTGCCCCTTGCACTGCACGCACTCCTAAGGGCACCAGTATGACACCTAGCAGGGTCATTACCTACTGCCTTGCACACACCAGTGGCAAGGTCCATCTGATAGCCACGACTACATTCACACTTGTAACCGCCTTTTAAGTTGATACAAATTTGACTGCAGATTCCGGGATTCTGGCACTCGTCAATATCTAGGAGGGAGATTAGAATTAGTTGGCGGCTCCTGCCCCTTGCCAGGTGTAGCTGGCTGGCCCTTCCCTGTCACCCTGGCTCAGGCCTTTCCCCCGACTCACCGCCACAGGTTTTCTTATCTATCAGCTCAAACCCCGCCGCACAGTCGCACTCGTAGCCTATCACCAGGTCTCTGCAGATGTGCGAGCACCCACCGTTGTTAACCAGACACTCGTTCACATCTGGACAAAGAACATAGCTCAGTGACTCCACGGCCATTTGTGTTTGTAACATACAAAATCTACAGTGTCTGCAAGAACTTATTTTATGCTCTAGTGTCGTCTGACATACTTTGGACATGTTGAGAGGAGGGACCAGTCTTTGGAGAGGGACATCATGCTTGGGAGGGTAGAGGGACAGCACAGGAGGGGAAGGCCCTCTATGAGGTGGATTGATTCAGTGACTGGGGTAATCGGGATGGGAGTGTCAGAGGCGGTGCGATTGGCACAGGATAGAGCACGGTTTAGGGCTGTTGTACATAGGGTCGCTGTGAGTCGCATGAGACTGGACAGCACATAACAACAACAACAACAACAATGCAAATCCCTGGTTAGTCAAAGGCTTCATCATCTGCTTTACCGACCTGCATCTCAGGGTGGGCTGTGAGAACACTAAACCGAATGTCAAGGAGCCCTGGTAGTGATTAATCACACGGCTGTTAACAGAAGGGTCGGCAGTTGGAACCCACCAGCCGCACCGGGGAGGAAGCCTGCGTGCACGCAGACCACAGCAGTTGGAACCTGACAGGGCAGCTCCATTCTGTCCTCCAGGGTTCTGCGAGCCAGGATTGACTGGGCAGCAGTGAGCTTTGTTATTTTCACACTTACTCTCCGCGGCAAGTGACCACTGGGATCAGCAGCATCTGTGCTTCCTTGTCTGCCCTCTGGTGATGCCCACCATCCCTGTTACTGATTCACACTTACACAGACTCTACAGGGCAGGGTTGGAACTGCCCCTCACGTCTCCAGGGCTCACAGAGTTAGACTGCGTCATCTTCTTCCCATTGAGCTGCTAGTGGTTTCGCAGCACTGACCTTCCGGTTAGCAGTCCAATGTTTAACCTGCCGTGCCACTAAGACTCTTAATGATCTAAGCTGTCTGTTATTATGTACCTTCAATTTAGAACCCACTCATAGCTGAACCTCCACTCGGCTTTCAGAGACAGTAACGCATATGGGGGGAGACTGTCCATCTTTCTCCCACAGAGCAGATAGTGGATTCGAACCACATGCGTCTGGGTTGGTACCACAAGTCCTTACCACTAAGCCACCAGATCTCCCTGGATGACCTCTATAGAGGCTAAATTAGGAGCTGCTTAGTGGGGCCCTGGGCTGTTAAGTCCTCGAATTTCGCAGGCAGGACTAACAAGTGACATGATTTTTGGGACCAGTGGTTCACTTGAGGCTGGATCTGGGCAGGACCCGGTTAAGTGCCACCCCCCCCACCTGAGAAGCACCCCCAGCACTTACTGCATTCCTTCAGGGGTTCGTCACTCCAGTCTCTGCAGTCCTGCTCTTGGTCACACACCTTACTGATATCGATGCATTCTGAGCTTTGGCACTTGAACTTCCCAGGGCCTGAGCACTGGTTAACTACAATGAAAAATGCCCCGAGACACGCCTTCAGTGGGGCTGAGCTGCATCTCGCCTCCACCCCTCAACCGGAGCAATGCCTCCATTTCTTTCTTTCTTTTTTTTTTTTTAATTAATTCTAATGAAAGTTTACAGAGACTTAGGATTTCCAGTCTTTCATTGTTATACTTTTCTCCATACCCTCCCTCCCCCCTCAATTCACTCTTCTTGAAAAGAAAGAAAAACTCTTTCATTGTTATGTAATCCCTCCCCCAAGTCCACTCCACTATGCAGCCTTCACTCTGGACTTCTGTAATGACAAGAATACCCAATCATATGTCCCTTTTAAACAGATCTCTCACTCATCTGTTTCAATGCAATATACATCATTCCTCCCCTCCTTTTCTGTCTTCCATCAACCCTGATGTCAGATATGTTTTACAACAGTGACCCTATGCAATATTTGTTCTTTTGTGACTGAGATATTTCACTCAACATAATGTTCGCCAGGATAATCCATTTTGCATAATATTTCACGAGTTCCTTGTTTTTCAATGCAGCGTAGTATTCCATTGTGTGAATATACCAGACCTTCTCTATCCATTTGTTTGTTGATGGGCACTTGAGTTGTTTCCAGCTCTTTGCTATTGTGAACAAAGCCGCAATAAACATGGGTGTGCATATATCTGCTTGGATGTCAGTTATGGTTTCTTTAGTGGAATTGCTGGGTTAAATGGTATTTCTATTTGCAACTTTTTGAGAAAGCACCATACAGCCTTCCACAGTGATTGCACCACTTTTACACTCCCACCAACAGTGAATAAGGGTTCCAGTTTCTCCACAACCTCATCAGCATTTGTTGCTTGCTGTTCTGCTAATTTTGCTATTCTTACTGGGGTGAGATGATATCTCAGAGTTGTTTTAATGCCTCCATTTCTTACTCCCACATACAGTGACTTGAGCGGAAGCTTACAAAGTGAACCATTCACATGCATTCTGCTCTACAGCATTAATGACGACATTGACAATGTAACTGCACTCTTCCTGCTCCCTCCCTGTGCCTCTCATCTCCCTTCAGCCGACCACTCCCTGCCTCCTCAGCTTTCTTCCCAGGCAAATGCTGCCTCACCATTTTTGCAGTTGACCTCGTCAGAGCCGTCCACACAGTCTCGGATGCCGTTGCACTGCCTGCTGCCATGGACACAGCTGCCATCTTCGCATTCGAACTGGTCAGGCCGGCAGGTCCGAGACGCTGTGGAGGAGAGCAGGCCGTGAAGGAAGCGGCCCCTCGAGGCCGGGCACCCGAGGAGGGGGGACCACCACGCAGTGCGAGGAGGAGGCTACTCACGACAGTTAACCTCATCGCTGCCGTCCTTGCAGTCGGGGTCGCCGTCACAGCGCCACTTCTTGTGGATGCACTCGCCCGAGCTGCACTGGACCTCGCTGGCTGGGCAGCGGGCGTGCGTGACCGGCTGGCGGCCGCACTGCTCCAGGGACTCATCCGACTGGTCGGCGCAGTCCGCGTCGTCGTCACACACCCAGCTGAGCGGGATGCAGGAGGACGTGCTGCACTGGAACTCGTGGGCCCCGCACGTGGGCGGCGCGCAGTCCAGCTCGTCACTGCCGTCGCTGCAGTCGTCCTGGCCGTTGCACACGAAGTTCCTGGACACGCAGCGGCCGCTGGAGCAGGTGAACTCGTCGGCGCTGCACGTCATGTTGCCTGCGGGCACAGAGGATGCAGGGGCCAGCATCAGCCTGGTGCCTTCCAAGCTCTGGCCCGAATCTAGGCACCTGCTCATCCTACCCCTGTAATAGAGCACAGTTCCACCCACGTCAAGTCCCGGAGGAGCAGGAAATCTCTCGGGGTCAGAAATACAGAAACGCTATGACTAAGAGCTGAAACCCAGGACCAGGAAAAGAGGTGCAGAGACTAGAAGATAACGTGGGGTGAGAGCCAGGATGTGCTCTGGAAGGAACAGTGGCATCATAAATGCTAATGAGAGTGGCCATCTGGACAGACACCCATGCGCCACTCAGTTGCTATCACCTAGATTCTGACTCCTGGCAACCCAAGGTGTGTCAGCGTAGAACTGCTCCATGCTGCTTTCCTGGCCTTACTCTTTCTGCAAGCAGACTGCCAGGCCTTTCTTCCGCTTATCACTGAGTCAGTGCACCTTGGAGCTGGTGCAGATAACCTGCAGCACCACCCAGGGAAGTGCCTGTGTCGGGCAGAGTCCGAGGCGACCTCAAAGGAGCACACTGCTTTTCAAGGCAGGTTCCATCACCCACTGAGAAGACCTCATGGTTAAGTGGACAACTGTTAGACGACCAACAAGCACCAAGGCATTTAGTGCCACAGAGAAGCCATCAGGCGGTATCATCACTCTCGGTACGTTCTTGTTTGGGTTCCTTAAAAACGGGGCAGGGATAGCAACTCTTAAACACTTGCAGCTTTGAGAAAGTCACACGAGGCCCAAAGGTCAAGTCTCCCAGTCACTTTTTTACTAGTAAGTTCCTCATCCTAGCCAGTTTGTACTTGGATTCAAATTCCTGCAGGCACATTAAGGCCCCAATTTGGTGGTAATTTGGGTGGAGACCACGACTCTCTTGGGAAGCAAAGTCTAGTTTTGAGAGGGAAACTTGGCAGAAGGCTCAATTCTAGTTTGGCCATCAAAACTCATTGGACTAGGTGCAGCGTACTGGCCTCCATGCAAGACTGGCGTGTCCACAGCTAGTGCCCAGAGCCCACGTGTCCACTCCGTCCTGGAGGGCCTGGCGCTGCTCACAGTGGGAGCTGTGGAGTTAGAGGCCCTTTAGAAAGAGCGGAAGCTTAAAAGCGTGTTTTTTAAGCAATGTTTGTTCAACCTACAGCTTTTCCCAGGGCCCTGCCTCCACCAGGTAGCTACTGATTACACATTCTCCAAGAACGGCAAGATGAAAGGGTGGGAAACAGAGCTGCCTTGCCCAGGCCGGGACTGTGACAGGTGACAGTGATACGACAACTCAGGCAGGGCTCGCTCTGGGGATCTGTCAGCAGGGTGCGAAGGCACGTTTCTAGGCCAGATCTGCTTTTGGAAAAGCTGCCACAGAACCTGGTTTGGGGGTTGGGCAGTGCTGGAACAGCACCCAAGCCACGTTTTCCAGTAAGTAGATCTGGTTTAGACTCAGGACTCTGGAAGCCAGCCCTCTTACTTCTGTCTTGTCCTGAGTCAATGTGAGGAGGGCCCGAGCTGACCATTGTGACCGAAGCAAACCAAGCGGTCAGCAAGTCAGCTCTGACCCATAGCGACCCCAAGTGTGTCAGTGTAGAAATGCACACAGAAGACTTTCAAAGGCTGTGATCTTTAGGAAGCAGACTTCCTGGCCTTTCTTCTGAGATACTCTGGGATGGACTTGAACCACCAACCTCTTGAGCAGTCAAGTGCTTTACATGAGCGCCATCCAACAAAGAGAAAAGTCTAAACAAATGCTGCTTCACTGAACTTCTTCCGAGTGAAAGGCCTCAAAGGATGAACCCTGCTTGTACTTTTTCATCTACAAGAGACATCAAAGTGAGCAGTGGGCACTGACCACACGAGCCCCTTTAGGAGCCTATGGCGGTCAGCAGAGGACAAGAGGTGAGGACCCTGAGCAGACAGGGGAGGCTCTTCGTGCTACGGTAGCGTCCCCTGCCCACCCGTCTTGGACGCGAGGGGTCTGTGGGACAAGCCACCTCACACTGGCCTTCTTACCACAGTTTTCTTCATCTTCTCCACTGTCACAATCATTTTCACCGTCACACCGCCAGGACACGGGGATACACTGAGTGGAGTAGGCGCCACAGCTGATTTCATTTATACGGCATGTTCTCATATCTGTTGATGACACACAGTCTCAAAAGAGCCCTGACACGGGTCATTGCAAAGCTGTGCGTGGCCTGGGGCCACAAGGCATCCCTCGGCGGCCAGGACACGGTGACATGTGTCTTGCTGCCGAAGCCTTTTCAAGCCGTGGCCAGCACCACTCCTGAGAAGCTGTGCCAACCCTTGGGGCCTGGCAGTACACCTGGGGGCTTGGCCGGGTCACGCCTCCAAGTCACGGCTGTTCTAAGTTCTGACTTGGGCTCTATTCGGTCTGGCTGCCGGTGGTGCTGGGCTCTTGAGTCAATTCTGACTCATAAAGACCCTCCAGGCAGAGGCTGTAAACACGGAGGTCTGGTGGCCTCGTCTGGAGGGAGCTAAGCTCTTACCCCCAGGTGGTGCCTCTCAGCTGGTTCAAATCCACGAGCTGGGCTGTAGAGGAAAGATGGTCACCCTCCTGCCGTGCGATGTGGGGCTCTGAAAAGGCCACGGAGGGTCGGTCGCAGGTTGGTCTGCCTCCATGGCCGCGAGGCCTTTTCTGGTCATTTTTTTCATCATTATGGAGGAGACTGCCCAGTCTTTCAACCTTCAGAGCCACAGGGGGCTCCGGCTAGCACCCAACGTTCAGCCATCGGTGTTCCTCGTTGATGTGGACTCTCAAGTAGGAACCGACCCATCGCCGACCCTCCGCCGGGTTTTCAGAGACAATAATTCCCACAGGAGGAGACGGCCCATCCTTCTCCCATGGAGCAGCTGGTGGATTCAAACCGTGTACCTCTGTGCTGACAGCACAGTTTCTCAGCACTAGGCTACCAGAGCTCCCTCACACTTTTTCAAATATGCTCTATTTCGTTTGATTTGGCTGACCTGCTCCTATCAAAACCAAACCAGCGTCCATTGAGCTCTGACTCCCAGTGACCCCACTGTGTCTGAGGAGAACTGCGTTCCCCAGGGTTCAATGTCTGTGATCTCTGGGAAGTAGGTTACCAGGCCTTTCTTCCAACTCACTCTGGAGGAACAAATTGCCAACTTTGCCAAGCAGCGAAGCATGGACACCACTCAGGAACCCCTGGAAGCAGGAGTCATGTAGCCCAGGACTAGGAACTACCTCAGGCTCTCAGTGGACACATCTAGACACTATCACCTGATCTCAGCTTCCAGGTACACCTGCGAGGCAGTGACGTCTTCCTTTCGCCAGCCTCCTTGGCAACCACCTGTGCATTTACCTCTTGCCAGGTAGGGACACACTTGAACTCCCTGCTAGATGGGGCTGGACCTCTGCAGCTCCTGTCGTCTTTGGCTGTGATATGTCACCTGCCTTGATAAATGTCCTGAACTCTTCAGATGAATACACTTGTCTTCTTTTCTGCTTGATGGTATATATTTTCTAATCCTTTTCTAGACTCAAACTCTGCTCAAACTATTCCTCTACTTACAACACTAAAGTGAACCCTGAGTTCACACCCATTGCCATTGATGGATTCTGACCCACAGTGGCCTTGGAGGGCACAGCAGAGCTGCCTACAGTGCTCCAAGGCTGCATACCTTTATAGCTACAGACTGCCTCACCTTTCTCCTACAAGTGTTTGGTGGGTTTGAACGGCCAACCTTTTGGATAGTGGCTGAATGCTTTAACCACTGCACTAGGACTTTCTTTACCTTTGCATTCTAGGATTCCTGAACTCTATGATCTCATAGGCATTTCTCTGACTATCAGTCTACAGGTACAGCTACATTATTATTATTATTATTAAATTTAATGAAAGCTTACAGAGATTTTGGATTTCTAGTCATTCGCTGTTGCACTTTTCTCCCTGCCTACCTCTCCTGTCCAGTTCGTTCTTCTCTTTGAAAAGTAAAAGAAAAATTCTCTCATTGTTATACAATCCCTCGCCCTAAGCCCACTCCACTATGCAGCTTTTGTTCTGGACACACCTAAGAAGTGTCTTTTATTTAAGAACACGCTCTGAGACTCTGGTTCAACAGTTCTGTTTCTGTAGTTGTTAATAACAACTCTGTCATTTCATTGCTCACCAGCTCTCTGTTTCAGTCATATATTTCTGTATAACTTAGAAAGTAATAATCTCTGCATCTCCAAGTCTATTCTTGGTCCACAAAGGATCTGCCCACCTCAACTTACCTTTCAGGACTGGAGCGCCATCTGCTCAGAATCGTTAATGCCAAACATTTGAAATCTATGCACCTAGTCAAGGAGTTTGCAGTCAAATCTGTGGCTCCAGTCCGCAGTATGTAAGAGCAAATTGAGAAGCTACCCAAGAGAATGTCAGTCTGGTTAGACTAGAGGGAACATTCTAGAAGGGAGACTGAGCAACCGGCAATGGCTTGAGTGACTTTGGAGTCGAATGGTCTAACGCCTGGAGGGCAGACAAAGAAAGTCTTCCACCAGCTATCAGATTGAGCGAAACTTGGAGTCACGCGATACGGAGCCCCTGGGGAAGTTGGGGTCCAAAGCGAGCTGTACTCACGGCACTGCTCCGGGCTCTCGTCCGACCCGTCTTCACAGTCGGGGTCCCCGTCACACTGCCACCTGCTGGGCAGGCACTGGCCGTTGTTACACACGAAATCAGACTCTGCACACGTCTTCTTTACTAGAAAAGAGAGCGTGTGTTTGCAAGACGGACGCTGAAGCCCCGGACACGGGGTCCATGATGGCATGAGGCGTGTGAAGGGATGCCCATGAGTGGTACCACCTGCAAGTACACTTCACTGCCAAGTGAAAGCCTGGAGGTTGGGAGTCCTTTTGGAAATGCCTCAGAAGAAAGGCCTGGCAACCTACTTCTAAAACTCAACAGCCCCTGAAGACCCTCTGGAGCTCAGTTCAACGTCAACTGCAAGAGGCTGCTGGTTGTTTGCTTTTTATCCTAAAAACGCAGCTGACTCAATTAGCCTTCAAGTGCCCGTCTCTAAGGAAACTACAGAGAAAAGTCTTTATGAGATGAAGGTAGATGCTAACGTCAAAACCAGACAAGAGTATCATAATTCAAAGGTATTAAATGTATTAAATGTCTTTTTTTTAGATTCTTCTTTGACCATCATTATTCACTACCCAAATTTCAGATGCATATGAAGCAATTTAAAATATCATAACTAGAATCAGGTGAATCTTAGTACTTAAATTGATATTCTTTAGAATTTTGGAGAAGTCTTTGACAGAAGATTTTCCCAATGGAACATGCCTTTTGATTTCTTAGGGATGCAAGTAATAAAAAATTGTTGACAAATTTAAAAAACAAAGAAACAAACAAACAAACCAGACAAGGGTGGCCCACTATCTCGTCACCCAGGAAGAGCTATGATTCACTGCTTTGTACAAGCCGAGCCTGCTGTTAAGTACTGTCATGCTGGAACCGACCCATCGCTGACCCTCCCGCAGGTGTCCAGAGGGAGTCAAAGGCACAGGAGGGACTGTCCATCTTCCTCCTGAGGGGTAGCTGGGAGATCTGAACTGTGATGGCTTAGTGGTAAGGAATTATGCGGCCAATGCAAAGGTCCATGGTTCAAATCCACCGGCTGCTCTAGGGGAGAAATCAATTCCTGTGGAGTTACCACCTCTGAAAACTGGCAGGAGGGTTGGCTCTGACTCACCAATACACAACCACCACCACCATCACCACGACCACCATCACTACCATCACCACCACCACCACCACCTCCACTGTTGTGTGGGCAGCTCGATTCCTTAACACTAAGTCACCACATTGTGGTGGGTTTGTATCCTGTTGAACTGAAATCGACCCGTAGCTCACCCTCCAGCAGGTTTTCAGAGGCAGACACTCACAAGGGAGGAGATCGCCTATTTTTGTTTCAAGGCAAAGCTGGTAGATTTGAACTGTGTGCCTTCAGAACTGCCGTGCAGCCTCTTACCGCTGGGCCACCAGAGCTCCTTAGTCACCAGATTAATAACAGTTATTGGCAGCATCAGGATAGATGGTGAAGAAATTGAGATTGTTCACAGCTTTAGTCTGCTTGGCTCCACAGTCAACATTCTTGGCACCAGCAGCCAGGAAATTAAAAGACATATTGCGATGGGAAAGTTTGCTGGTAGGGACCTCTCCAAAGTACTGAATGGTGTCACTCTGGAGATTAAGGTGCATCTGATACAGGCCATGGTCTTTGCAATCAGTTGTTACGCGTCAGAGAGTTGGACAATGACTAGGGAGGATAGAAGGAGAACTGATGCCTTTGAGCTGTGGTGCTGGAGAAGAGTACTGAGTGTACCATACAGTAAACATGTAAGTAAGTGTAAGTAAACATACAGGTTCATCCTGGAGAGGGTTAAACCAGGTGGCTCCTTGGAGGCAAGGATTCTGAGGCTTTGTCTGACATACTCTGGGCATTTTGTAAGGAGGTACCAGTCCTTGGAGAGGGACATCATGCTTGGGAGGGCGGAGGGACAGCGCAGGAGAGGAAGGCCCTGTAGGAGGTGGATTGATTCAGTGACTGGGGTAATTGGGGTAGGTGTGTCAGAGACAGTGTGATTGGCACATGACAGAGCAGAGTTTAGGGCTGTTGTACATAGGGTCGCTATGAGTCGCAAGTGACTTGACGGCACATAACAACAACACATTTCTTTCTGCATCTCTTTCAAGTTATTAGAGTGCTAAGCAGGTAAGTTTAACAGTCACCGGACACCTTATGTCTGAGTTTCAGTACAGTTAGTTTCAGGAGCATCCACAAATGCTGAAGTAGTGGACGGAAGGACGAGTCTGAGGAAGAGTAAGTTCACCCCTGCTGGTCTCCTGGGCAGAGAAACTCTCCTTGTAGAGAAAAGGTAGGGCTTAACCTGGAGTCCGGCCAGCCCAGGGCTGTGAATGAGATCCGCTCCCAAGTATGTCTTGAAGCCGTTTGTAGGTAAGAACAGATGCACACAGTTCGTATTTAGTCTCACTTTTGGACAAGGAAAGGCTCGCAGCCTTAAAATGCTTTAAAAGCTGCCCAGGCAGCAAGAGACGGTGACTGAAGGATTTGTTGGCAGTGAAGCTGGTTCAGTCATTTCAGATTGAGGAGAATTCCAGAAAACCCTAACAGGCCAGCACTCAGTGGTTTGCAGAAGGCGGACATTGGTAACCAACGGACCACTGTGTCAAGAAAGCACGAATGCAGCTGACCTCGTGTTCACTCGCATGAGGACTGTGCCTGGATTCTCTGTCCCTATCGTTCTGCACACAGAAACCTGGGAGTCAGTTTGTTGATATTCACAAAATAACTGATTTGTAGGGCTTTGTAAGGGCAGAACGGAGCTGCTCACGGTGTCCAGCTGTGACCTCTCCAGAAGCAGGCGGCCATCTCTCCCCCACAGTGCTCCTCCTGTGTTAGAACCAGCAGCCTGTGGCCTGGCACTGAATGTTCTGACCGCTGCACACCGGAGCTCCTTCTACAACAAATGAGGGTGTATTTAAGAGTTCAAAGCAGAGATTCCACCTTCCATCTGGGGCACAGTGTTAAGATCAACCAGCTAAATGCCACTGAAACAGTAAGTGCTAACATCCACAGGTGACCACACCAAATCTACTGCCATCAAATTGATTCCAACTCACAGGGACCCTGTAGTCTGGTGTTGCCCGCCATGTGTGTGCGCGCATGTGCGCGCGCGCGCGCGCGCGCGTGTGTGTGTGTGTGTGTGTGTGTGTGTGTGCGTGCCCCATGGCTGTGGTCTTTATGGAATAGACTGCATTGCTCTTCCATGGAGTGGGTGGTGGGTTTGAACCACTTGTCTTTCAGTTTGCAAAAGCTATACAAAAGTGAAAAAAAAATATACATTACTAAGGGAGCTCTGGTGGCCTTGTGGCAAGAAACTGCACTGCAGTCCCAGAGGTATGCGGTTCAAGTCCACCAGATGCTCTGCTGGAGAAGGAGGGGCAAGCTCCTCCTCTACCAGTCAGATCTGATTTGATGGTACACACATAATAATAATAATAATAATAAATAATATTAATAATAATAAAAATAAATTAGTAGTGCCCATGACTTGCTTTATTTTCTGTGGTTAGAGGACCCATTTGAGAATCAGAAAAAGTCCCCACTGTTCTATCTGCCCTCAACTTCTCCTCTCAGCTCCCATCCCCCGGCTCCCTGTGGGGAATGTTTGTCTTCTCTCAGATAAGGCAGCTCCTGTCACTGCAGAGCAGGGCACTTGATCTTCAGCATTCCATCTGTAAGTCGATAACCCCAAGCCAAACATTTCATTATATTCCTGCAGACCAGGAAGTATAGATCTTGGACTCTGGTTCAAAAACAATCCTTAGGAGTGGATTATGATTTTTAAGAATTTTTTTTGTGGGGAGTAGGGAGCAAAGGGAGGCTAGGCAAAGGAGCAAACCAGCTCTTTCACCTCTTCATTGAACCGATATTTATACAGTTGTATTATTAACAAGAACTCATGATTTACTGGCAGGCCCACTCTCTGTTCTGTACTGCCGTTGTGTACTGTCAAATCAGAACTGATTCAGAGCTGACCCTCGAGCAGGTTTTCAGAGGCTGTAAACTGCACGGGAGGACACTGCCCATCTTCCTTCCATGGAGCAGATGGGAGATCCGAACTGCCTACCTTTGGGTTGGCAGCACAACGCCCTACCCCTAGGTCTCTAGAGCAGTCCATTGAAAAGACTGAAAGCTTTGAGGAGGCCCCAGGTTGCCTTTCATATGGATTGTACCATTTTACATTCACATCAACAGTGTATGAATGATTCCTGAAAAACCTCACATGACTTGTAAACGTTCACTTTTCACTCAAATAAAACAAAAAACAAGCAAAACTCAGAGGGCCTCAAGCTCGGTGCTGTTGAGCCGGCTCACCCTCCAGCAGGCCTTGAGGCTGTGAATCTTAATGGACGGAGGCTGCTCGCCTTTTTGCCTGAATCAGCTGGTGCATCTGAGCCACAGGAGATGCCAGGCCTTCTGGTCAGCAGTGCAGCCTGTTACGGCCCGAGCCTCTGGAGCTCCTAAAAGTCCACTGAGCTCCAACCTCACAGTATCATCCAGGATAGCTTCACAGTCTAAAGATGCCATGCACATCATCTCCCAAACAATCACTGATCTTTGTACAGTCTCTGTAGTTCTGTCCAGAGGTCTCGCCGTGCAGAGGTCAGGCACTTGTCTGCAAACCAAGAGACAAGCTGCTTGCACTCACCAGCTGCTCTGCAGGAGAAGAGGGAGGCAGTCTGCTTCTAGGAAGACCTATGGCCTTGGACCCCCTTTGTGATTGTTGAGGAATCATTATCAGGTGGAATGAACTCTGCGGTTATGGTTTCAGGGTTTGGTGTCCTTGAAGAGGAGCCCTGGTGACACAGTGGTTTAAGTGCCTGGCTCTTAGCCAGAATGTGGGAAGTCTAATCCCACGTCTTGGTGAAACACCGCCCCCCCCGGCAACCAATTCTTGGAAAGATTGCAGCCCAGGAGACCCTCTGCTGCAGAGCGGCCCTGCACATGTGGGGTGACGCGTGGGAACCCCAGCTGACCTGGTAACAACTAAGAACATCATTCTGTCTCTTCAGGAACGTGACACAGATGCAGTCGCTCAACACACAACTTGTTCAGACTCAGCAACTGAAGGGGCTTCGTGCCTTTTCATAGCCCGATGCTCTGTTTTCAGTCACTGAATATATTTTAGAGAGCTCTGGTGGCCTAATGGGTAAGGAGCTGTACAGGATTTGAATCCACCAGCTGCTCCCAGGGAGAAGACGGGCAATCTCCTCCTGCGTGATTCACTGCCTTTGAAAACTCACTAGAGGATCAGCTATGAGTCGATTCTGCCTTGATGGTACATACTGATTCTCATCTATTGCTTGGTTTGTTTGGCCTAGAGACCAGCCAGACTAGAGGACAGAAAGCGATGCTTCCAAGCCAAAGGTGGGTGACTCTAATCTGTGGACTGCGGACCGGTTTTTAATTGGTTTTGGTCAAACATTCTTCTAGGTAATATAGTCCTGGTGTGTCCACTTGCCCTACAGAGGTAACCTGCGGTTGCTGTGAAACCAAACACTGTGAGACTGATGTGTCAAATGCGAGAATGGTTACCCATGGTGGACACTGTTTGGTGGAGCTCCCCGGTTAAAACAAGCTGGGAAGCAGGAGTGGCATCCACTTCCATAAATAGCTTGCCTCTGGAAATCCTATGAACCTGGAGAGAGGATGAAAGTCATGCAAGACTTGAGGGCTTTTGTTCACAGGGTCCTTATGAGTCGCCTACGACTCGATGACACTTAACAACAACAATCCACTTACCTAAAGAAGCACATGTTGGCTGCTCCTAGCTTTTGGCAATTATGAGTAGAGCTTTTAGGAGCCTTCATGCCCTCGTTCCTGTGTGGACCTGCATCAACGTCTCCTCTGGGTAAGTAAAGACCCAGGAGCTTGAGAGCTGGACTGTACAGGGGGAGTAAATTCTACTTTCTCTGTAGATTTCAGACCTCAGAGAAAACCATTGCATTTCTGTACAACCCACACATACTGAGGCTTCAGCAAGGAGGCTTCACCAGGACCGAGGTCTGTACTCACCACAGTTCTTCTCGTCACTGCCGTCAGCACAGTCCTCGTCCCCGTCACATTTCCACAGCATCGTGATGCAGCGCCCGTTGGTACACTGGAACTGGGAGGAGTCGCACTTGCCTTTCCGCCCTAGAATCAGGAGGGAGCAGAGCTGAGCAGGGATAGAAAGTGAGGAAGTGAGAGCTATGACTTTCCCCAAACCCTTGGACGAGGGTCCTCTCTGGGGGAGCGCACCGGAATTAGCAGCTGACAACATTCCAGCCACCAAAGCTGGGAGAACTTGAGACAGAGACTGAAAAGGACTGCATCTGCAGCTGGACACGTGCCATCTAGCCAAAGACCAGAGTTCCCAGCTTCTCTTGCAGCTAATCAGAGGCCTCTCCAAATTACTGAGGAGCAACGATGCCAGTCTGAGGACTGAGGTGCGCCTGATCCGGGCCACGGTCTTCCCCATCATTTGCAACACATCTGAGAACTGGACAATGAATAAAGATGGTGGAAGAACTGATGCCTTCAAGGTATAGTATTGAAGAAGAGCACTGAACATCCATGAACTGACAAAAGAACAAGTAAGTCTTGGAGAAAGTGCAGCCAGAATGTTCCTTGGAGGCAAAGATGATAAAACTGCATCTCACATACTTTGGGCATGTTGTTAGGAGAGACTATTCCTTGAAAAGGGCTATCAGGGAGCTCTGGTGGCCTAGTGGCAAGAAGCTGCACTGTAATCCTGAAGGGGCACTGTTCGAATCCACCAGGTGCTCCGCCGAAGAAGAATAGGCGATAAATATCCTCCTGTGCCAGTCAGATCCGACTCAACAAACAAAAAAAGAGAGAAGAGAAGAAAAGGGCTATCGTGCTTGAAAGAGCAGAGGGTTGGCAAAAGAGAGGAGTCCCTCCGATGAGATGGACGGACATGGATTGACTACAGCAATGGACTCAAGTACCTCAAAGATGATGAGAAGGACACAGGAGAGGGCCAGGTACAGATCTGTTGTTTACAGAGTCGCCTTAAGTCGTCCTCGACTTAAAAGTCCCCAACAACAACTACTTGCAGCTAGGCAAAACCATGTGGTCTAAGTCTGATTAATGGGCTATAACCAGAAATGGCAATATGTAACTTCTAGTAAATACCTTTAAAGACAAATGAGTTCCATCCTCCTTCCCATCCATTCTGATTCCTGAAAACTGGCCAATGCAGCCAGACTAAGGCAGGAGGCAGGAAGCTCGCCCAGACACCCAGAGTGCTAACACCTGCCTTGACACGAAGTTCTCTCATTCATTTAAGGCACGTCTGTGGTCAGGAGCTGGAAGGCCAAACCCTAACCCTTTACTAAGCTTTCTTGTCCACATTCCCGCACCATCCACTCATGAATGATAGTCCTATTCCCAGCAGAGAAAAGGACATTTAGAAAGGGAGCACAGAGAAGGCTTCGAGGGCTTCAAGGTTTAAAACATGGTTCTTGGTCTTCAATGTGAAGTTTAACAGCAAAGAGATAGGTTTACCAAAAAAAAAAAAGCTGTAAGATAAGATAAAAACTATCAAGGAGAAAGATCACACAGCTAAGAGGCAGCGGGAGATCATCTCTGCCTTGCCTGATTGGGGGGGTGGGAAGGGAGGTGAGGTTGAGACAGGCACGGATTCCACTCCTGGAACCTCAGTCTCCTGACACTTGATGTCTCTCCCAGTGGCCACTAAGTCACCTCTCCCTGAGTGACCCCATGCATATCAGCGGAGAGCTGAATACCACTGGGCTTCCAAAGGCTGGTTTTTCGGAAGCAGACAGGCAGGCTTCTCCTCCCAGTCACCTCAGGGCGGACTCAACCCTGCAGCCTTCTGGACAGGAGTGGAGTGCATTAACCGCGCGCACCACCCACAGTGGGGTTTAACCCCCATGCTGTTATGAACTAATATTTGTAAGGAGGGTCCTTGGATGTTTTTCTGGATGCAGCAGGCAGCAGATACACAGGCATTTTCTACCATTAGCAGTTCTGTCCTTTGGAGGAGGTGACTTTGAGATGAAAGGCTCAGACCGAATTGCTTAAAAGCAACCAGGCTACAGATATTTAAAAACAACAATCCAGTGGTGCGCATGTGTGGATCACTGGGGAAGGGGTGGGGGAGGGCTGCTCAGCAATGGTCCTTCACTTTCCCTGCCCCTCCCGGCGGCCGCAGCTGTGGCCTGTGGGCCTTCGAGGGACAGTCCAGTGACAGGCACAGACTGGGACACTTGTGTGCGCACACAATTCACAATTCCGTCCCCCTCCTATCTGCTACTCCCTGCTGCGCAGGAGCTTTCTACGCTTCGCGTGCAATTCTCAGGGAGATTAAAACTTGGCTCCTGCCAAGTTTACCATGTGGGTGCGGCTGCTGCCTCAGGTGCTAAATATGCTGCTTAAAAATCCCATCCAGCACTCTGTTCCCAAGAGTCAGGGCAGGGCTCAGCGACAGACAGAAGGCAGCACCTGAGTGAGCGAATACGTGCCGCTGACATTAGTATCTAGAGAGACAGTCACGCGTGCGTACATGCAGCGTACAAATGCATTCACATACACAGTCCATGAACACATATCTATTCAACACATCCATGCATGTATGTATTCACAGAGACACAGACTTTATACATACATCTAAATACGCACCAACATTATACACAATCTGTTCATATCGACACAGAAAGTATACACATGGATTCACATACACAGTCCATGAACACATATCTATTCAACACATCCATACGTGTATGTATTCAGAGACACAGACATTATACATACATCTAAATACACACAAACATTATACACAATCTGTTCATATCGACACAGAAATTATACACATGGATTCACATACATGGTCCCTGTACACATATCTATTCAACACATCCATACGTGTATGTACTCACAGAGACACAGACATTATACATACATCTAAATACACATAACCATTATACACAATCTGTTCATATCGACACAGAAATTATACACAACTCCATCACACATACATATATCACGCCATTTACTGTTGTGTACCATCAAGTCGGAACTGAAGCATAGCTGACCCTCCAGTCCTCAGAGACAGGCAAATTTCTGATGCCGTATAGACAGCTGTTATACATGCATTTACACAGCCACACTTGTTGTTGCTGTTATTGTTGATTGCCTTCGAGTTGAGCACGACTCACAGCAACCCTATGAACAAAGACCTGAAGCCCCTCTACAACCACTGACATTTATAAAAATCATAGAGTTTCCGGAGGCGTGTGGTTTAGGAAGTGGATGCCGCTCCTGCATATAAATTTACATATATGTAATCAGAGATATATTATTATATATTTCGGCAGAATGTTAAATGATCCAGGAAGTATTAAAAGAAGATGGAAAGAATATACTGAGTCACTGTATCGAAAGGAATTGGA